ACAAATCAAAGTCACAGAGGTGAAGAAATATCTGTCCCCATGGTTTTATGCACCCTGTATAACTTGGTAAAATTTAATCATTTTTTTTGGCATGATTTCTGATTATTTTCCTTTATAATTCTTTGTTAAAACGAACAGAATCGCTTCATTTCACATTTTTGGGCTCAGTCTGCATAATTTCAGAATTTTCTTGCATAAAACAACAGGGACAGAAATATTCAGCGATACAGCTCCTGACCGGTGAACTGTATAGCCAGCTCTAAGAGGTAAAACTTTTCCTTTCCAGGGGGAACCAGGCCTCAGCCAGCACATAAATCCCTCCAGCAGCTCATACTATTTATATGATGCCGTCAAAAATTGGTGGCGCAATTTATCCCCAAATATCTTTGTAACAGGTGAATCAATGTCCACAATACTTTGCACACAAGTTTGTAGCAATTTGACTTAATTTAATCGTATTATTCATCAATAGTTGAGGCTACATTAAAAAACTTTTGTTCATTGATTTATGTTTATGAATTAATTTTCTTCATTAATTTATATAAAATACTACCAATCTTTGTCATACAGAAAATTGGAGCGTTCACAGCACTTCCCGCTTCTCACGCACATTTTGCATACGCATATTATATGGCCTACGTCACTACTAACCAATGACTCTCTTTAGCAGCAAAACTTCTTACAAAAAAACTAAATGATCTAAAAATATGCGTTCAATAAGCATAGTATCACGGTTAGAATAAATGACAGACTTGCTTTTAGAAGCGATATCCCAGCTCATGAGATGTTAAACTTTTCAAATTGGTACATACCGCCACTTGGGATTTTTTTTGTAATAGGAATTTTCAAGAACACCGACAGGTGTTTGCAAAAATATGGATCTGTTAAGACAAATTGATACAAGTCATTGTGCAAAGCTGGAAAGTCTATGTCCTTTTAGTTGTAGTAAGTGTTTTATGGCGCTCCCAACAATATAAGGTCATATAAGTGCCGAAGATTAGAGGTGTTACAAGAGAGTAAAAAACACAAAAAAATATGGAGGGGAGATAGATAACGACGACAGACGTTTCATAGGAAAGAAGAAGCAAACCACACCAGAGCACCCGCCAACCACCCACAGTCTATGTCCGATAGTTGAGGACGTATCTAATGATAAGTTGCGCCACAAATTTTTTAAAAAACCACTCTTTAGTTTCCCTGTCACTGTAAACATTGCTTAATAAACAGAGCCAGTGTGAGCCACACGCGAGTCTTGTAACAGCTGGTTCTGTTCCCGACTTTGTTGACAGTCTTTGCAAAAACAGTGAAGCCCCTCAAGAGAAACGCCCTCACACTTTTCTCACAACAACCAGCGTTAAAACATACAAACATACAGACAACAAGCAAAAACAATATCTAAGCTGTTAAAAAAAATAAAAATTCTGGAGGAGGGGAAAAATGAGTCAAAATGAAAACGACGCACACTTTCTGCTTAATTAATATCAAATGTAACAGACGACGATGAGCAAAAAATTGCGTGACAAAAACTAACACCTTCCCAAACTGACACACACCTCTCATACGAAAACATGGACACTATAGGTTAGGACCCGACATACTTTGTGCATGTTATGATATCACACAGGCCAAAAATTCCACATCTTGAATGAAGGACAAGTGTCCCCACAATTTAATAAAAAGCACATGTTAAAGATTATGATAACCATAAAAGTGTGTATTTGTTATTCACTCCGAGTCTTGGTCCCTGACGACTAAAGCTTGAAATTTAAAAAAAAATGGGACGAAGACGTGAAAACAGTAGATTTATGATTGTAGATAGTTAGCGGAGCACTGTCAGTTACCAATGTAATAAGGAAGACACATGGCTGAAATTCCGATCAAAAGAACGGAACTATCATTTAAAAGTCAGAAATTTGAGACACCCCAGCAAACTACTCAGGTATATTCTCGAATAAGATAATTATAATTATTCCCACAATGTATTCTCTAGCAGTGCTACTTGGTCGCTTTTAAGCACAAGGGGGCTATCCCGAAAAATGCTGTTTTGAGAAAATCGAATGTATAAAGTTTTTGCCTCTTGTTCAGTTTCTTTAAAAGACAAGGAGAGTTTTCTATTTAACCAAACAAATATACACACCAACGAAACCAAACTTCTCCTATAGAGGTAGGGCAAAGCCCACTTTTGGTGTAGGTCAAGATTTTTTGAAACCCCCAAAATCTGGATTTGCCCGCTTGTCCTTAAAAGCGACCATACAATATTGTCCACTGCTAGAATCAAAGATGATTTATAAATGCTTGTATAAAGCTATGTCTCTATTGCAGCACACAAATTGTCACTGTCATTTTATCATTGCCGTATGTCAAAAAACGATGTTTTCAGGAGTGGCAAAAACCTTTATATTTCTGGCAGAACATTACGTTAATTTACAAAATTTAAATGATGAATTCCTCTAAATCCATTACTATTGCAAGTGGAGGAATAAGACTAGAACCAATCGATCCACCAAATCAAACTCTACAACACACTTGATTGTCATTTTTTTTCGAAATTTTGACACACTGCAATGCTGAATGACGACGATGAAATAAACAATGGATTTTATCCTCAATTTCGTTTCCAAGAGTCTACAAGCTATAGATAAAATAAATGCAACAATTACAGCGTGACTGGTACGATAAGGTTACTGTTTTAAAAAAATAAGAAGTATAAAGCAAGTCAGCAAGATAGCAGCCCTACCTTCGCTTGGGATGGGTAAAGAAAGAACAAACGACAGCTGGTAAAGAAGGAGCATAGCAGCATGCCAGTGTCCACTGCGCGTCCGACAGAAATTTGAGAAGACAACTCATATAGAACATACACTTCTCTTTACGGTAGCTGAGTTTACTATTTGGATCATGGTGTGGTGGAATCAGGCGCTCGTCAATTTTTGGGCATGTGGAGTTATTGGTATCATCTGATAGCTTATGTATTTGCCTTGCTTACAATGAAACAAGTATCCATCTATCTTGAAGAGGAGTCGCGATAAATATGATTGAACGAGGTAGGGTCGACTGGTTTGAGAGGTAAAATTAGCAAGAAAATGGTTGCCAAAGTTTGGCAACTTCAATAGCTAGAGAGTCCTCCGCACACTGAAAAATTACATATTTTGTACTTTTAATCAACATTTTTCAGTAAAATTTACATGGAAATAAGTTTTTATATGGACATAAAAGGTGTTGAGTCAAAACAAAAAAATTTTGATAAAAATTACCACAACCTGGAGGAAAAATGCCGGGTTTCTTCGATTTCATTATGTTGACGAGCGCCTGATTTCATCATGATGCCTCTCATTAAAATTTAGCTTTAATAAGAGTTTCAACAGCACTTGCATCACAAATAGGTTCATATAAAATGTAAGTGAAAGAGATCAGAGGTGTAACTACAACTTGAGAGAGTAACATGCAAAGAAAAGAAGGAGAGAACAAGTTAGTTACAGAGAACAAAAGCAGAATGCTACAGGTCAAACAAAGACAGATTACATTCCTCGCTGCTCCACTGTCGTCATATACAAATATAAATTGAGTTCCCAAAGATTGTTCGTATTGGGTAAAGAGAAAAACTTTGACACACATACTGTCATTTAGTGAAAAAAAAAAAAAAGCAAGACAAGAAAAATAGAAACAGCAAACGTAAAGAAAAGAAGTAAGACCTTCCGATGGCACCCTCCAACCACCCGCAAATATTGAAAAAAAAAACCAACAACAAAAAATGTTATGTTCATATATACACATTGTCAAATGCCTTTCTCATTGCACTGAAGATGGACATGTCGTGAAGAAACATCTGAGTACAATCTTTAGACACATTATCAAAATTGATCAAATATGACATTAAACAGCTCAAAATGTAATAATCTCAATACTGACAGCTTCACTCATTTATTGCTATTAATCTAGAAGGTCCATAGAAGCAGACACAAAAATCGAAAAGCCCAATAATTAATGGAAATAAAAAAGATCTTTTGAAATTTTCCCACGAACTGTATTTTTTGGGGTTTTTTAACGTCTTTATTTCTTTGCTTTTTTTAAATAAAAAAAACAAACCCAACTACATTCCAGATGGATTTTTCAATTCCACTTATCTGTCTTTTTCAACTTTGTCCATAGTCCTAACTCTGGTGATTTGAAGGCTTCCAAATAAAACTAATGACTCTTTAAAATCTACTAAAGGTTTCTCAAAAACTATTTCACTTCAGCTTTCAAAAGCGTGTCTCTTGCAGACAGGAAGAAAACACGTCGTAATAGAAGTAAATGCTAATAACAGAAATGTCAATAAATGCAAAACGAAAACGAAAGAAAAGAAGGCAAAAATTTAAACAGACAACAACAAAAAAAAAAGTTGGATTCATCTCTCTTTTGAGCAAAGCATTTAGGCTACAAACTAGTAGTGCTGCTAAAACCTATCTTTTAAAATCCACTCTCAACCTTGTTGAGACACTTTAAGACACTGACTTCTGCGGCTTCCAGTGAAAAACAGACAGAACCCCCGCCTTCTTAAATCACACAAGACCTCCACTTCTACGTAAAATAAATCTATATATGCGAGGCAGCGAGGTGAAATCAGGCGCTCGTCAAAATTATGAAATCCGAGAAATCTGCATTTTTCGGCCAGTTTGGACATTTTTCATTTTTGGCTTAGCGCCTTGCATGTCAATTCAAAAACACTTTTGTGTGAGCGTTTTATGGAAAAACGTTGATTAAAGCCGCAAAAAATGTACATTTTCAGTTTCCCAGGGCTCTCCAGCTTTGGAATTCATCAAACTCAGGCGACCCCTATCTCCTTCAATCGCAAATATATCGACTTCTATTGAAAATAGATGGTTGCTTTTTATTACTGAAAGCAGGACAAATGAACAAGCTTTAAGATGATATCAATAACGCCACATACCCAAAAATTGACGAGCGCCTGATTTCACCGCATCGTGACACATATTTTCTTCATCAAGTTAAAAAACAATAAACAAGCAGTAACTTGATATCAATAACTCCATATGCCCGAAAACTGACGAACGCCTGATTCCACCACACTGAGACAAAATTGATCAATTCACAAAAATCAGTTGAAGAGTAAGGATGCCATTTTTAGTTTCTCGGGCACGCACAAACTTCTTCTCTTGTCTCCTTCCCAGCCAAGCTTGTCTTGTCCAAAAGTGAAATTGAAGTCTGGCTCGTCCCACATCACATTTGTATCATATCACTGACATGTCCAGGAAATAAGAGCACACAGAAACTCGAGAAATAATGAGACGACACAGGGTCACACACCATCTGTCACTGACAAAACTGTACGGCGAATGGTATCAGTCGGGACAGAAGACGACACGATATCCAGGAGAAGAACGTACCTGGCCATCTGTTCTTCATCAAGAAGGATGCTGACATAAAGCCACGTTTCGTGCGACAATAGGACATTCTATGATGAGTGAAGAAGGTCACTGGCCATTTGACACAGGTAAAAAGGTGGAAAGGAGTGGGGGGGGGATGTGGGTGGGGGAGGATAGGGTGTCAACTTTTTACAGCTGCCGAAATGCACAGGGGTCAAAGGTCCGACGTTTCAGAGAAAGCACTGGGGATCACAGTCTACCTACGGCCTGAATTTGGGAATCGGGGAATCAGACGCATGTGATCACGTTATCCCTGGAGAGAAGAGAAATAAAAACAACAACATGCCATAAATTATTCATAATGAAGAGTTTCAAAGAATAGGACAAAATGGTATTTTCGCAAAAAATAAATGTGCAACCAGGTGGAACCATATGAGTCCCTTTGGGGAAAAAGCATCATTATACATCCCCTCTAAAAGTAAAAGAGAAAAAAAAAAATGCCCAAAATAAGGTGAAGTTCACAACCAATAGACAGCAAGCAGCAGAAATATCAATCACATTGAACTAAACTCTCCACAAGCAGGGTTAACATATATATATATATATATATATATATGTCCATCTTAATAAAGCATTGGTATCTTTATATACCAGAAAACCCCAACAGAATATGCTCATTAACTTTTCAATATGACACATTTAGCATTTCCTGTCAAATCAACAAGTAGAAAATTGTGCATTTCCATGACATACCAGGTACGTCAATATGGTATTGATGGGGTTAAAAAGCAATCATCTTATTACATAAGACGGAATAAATATAATGTTCTTCTGATAAGCTGAGAAAGTTAACATCCCACTTGCTTTTATCACCTTAGCTTCTTGAGGGCATTCATCCTTTGGCTCAAACAATTCTATATTCAAACAAAGGAACACACTAAAAGAGTGAAAGACACTTGTATTTTTCTTCGAGCAGAATAAATAATAAGACAGAAAAAGCTTATGTCATTTAATAATAAAGAGGGCAGACAGTCTTTAACGCACCCCTTGTTGAGCGTGTTACGGAACAATGTCAATACAGTGGCCAAGTATCCACAACAGAGGGTACCATTCATATGAATGAATTATTCTAGAGAATCATACTTATTTTGTTTTAGTAAGTGTTTTACGGCACTTGCAACACAATAAGGTCATATAAGTGCCGAAGATTAGAGGTGTTACAAGAGAGTAACAAACGCAAAAAAGGAGGCGAGATAAAGACAACAGACATTTGATAGGATAGAAGGATTAAAGAAGGATTTATTAGTAATAAAAACAACTAAAAAGAAAAAATAAATCCACAAAAAGACTCGAATGTCTCCAAAAGGACCCTAAGCTCAAACCTCCACAAAAATAAGCAACTATTTAGTAATCAAATATAAAAACCAGAAGATGCCATCCAGATTTTTCTTTCTTGAGGCAGCTCAATAACAAAGATTTGGTTAAACAAAAAACACTCCTATTTCTTTTAAATGGCTCAGCTCAATAAAATATTCCCTAAATATTTTTCAACCTCACTGCGAGACTGTTTTTCTCATAGAAATTTATACACATATACATAGATATTATAAGCATAATACTTTTGTTTTACGAACACGCACGTCAATTAATTTTTAAGATGTGATGTCTTTTTCGATGTAATGCGTATTGAGCATTTTTTAAAAGAAAATGGAAATGCGCAGTATAAATGCTAATTATTATCATTATTAGTTCTCAAGAGTAGGAGCATACAACTCTCCTCAAGCTCAGAAGTTCCACATTTGGCCAAGGAATATGTAGTTGACCAGGCCCACCCATCTTTACTTCTGTTTTACAAATTATAATAATATAATTCTATCAGTTATGAGTTTTTCCATGAATATTTTCATAAAATTCTGATTATTTTACCATTGTTTACTAGAACTATTGAAAAAGATAATATCTATGTATGCGCGGTCAAAAATTCGTGGCGAAACTTATTGTCAAAAATCTCCTTAACTATAGAACAAAGATTCTCAAACTTTTTCAAAATCACTAATAACAATTTTTGTCTTTATAGACGAATTTTTTTTCAAACACCTTTGCACTGTATTTTAGAAATTTCCTGAATAAATACTCATAAAAAATCAGAGACGATGGTTTCTACAGATTTTTAAAAGTTTACGGCAGGGACAATATAGCCTTTAAAAGCAAATTTTCCTTTTTTAAAAATATTTTCCCTATATATATATATATATATATATATATAAATACTCTAGAGATTACAAGTGATTAATTTAGATGGTCGTCAGAGAAGGTGGAATTGTATAATTTTTTTACTCTAGCCTCAATTGTTGCAGAAAAATATAATTAAGTTAAGACAAATTGATGCGAACTGCTGTGCTAAGTATGGGTGACAGTGATTCATCCGTTAAAGAGATACTGGAGGATAAGTTGTGCCACAAATTTTTTACCGCACTACAGTGACAGTACTCCCAAGAGAACAGTCTCAAAGACATTATTTAGCCTAAAAATACCTTTTGAGAGCACAAAATGAAAATACTAACCCACAACAAACATTCACGATGGCACACACATGCTTCTGAGGCCAGATATGACAAACACTGATATACTTATGTTTCGGATATTCATAAAGTCATAAAGAAACAGACAATGGAAAGGTGCAGCTACAACTGAAAACAAAAAACTAATTTCAAACTACAAATAACACAAAAGAAATTGAAAGACCATATTGTTTCTGTCCCCATCGTTTTATGCAAGACAAATTCTGAAATTCTGCAAACTGAGCCCAAAAATGTGAAATTATGCGATTCTGTTATTTTTAACAAAGAATGATAAAGGAAAATAATCAGAAATTATGAGAAAAAAAATGATCAAATTTTGCTAAATTATGCGGGAAGCATAAAACCACGGGGACAGTTATTTAATACATCTACGCGACTTTTAACAATTTAGAAAAATAAATTCTGCCCGGATACAAATGGTATATTCACAAGTGTTACCAATCTGCAAGAAAAATATTGTTCAAGCAGCTTATAATGAATATAATGACAAACAGATCCGACTGTTTGCCTTCAGAAACACGAGTTATTTTTTCAGTCTAGAGCAAGCATCTGTTCCACTCCTCTGTGGGCACAGACTCACTAGCAAGTACAGCCGAACCTGTCCAAGACAGACAACCACCTACTGTCGAG